GCAACAAAACAGATAAAGTGGGCCTCCAGCTTTCACTTCCAGGTATTTCTCCAAGTTACCGTGGTAACTCCCAGGGTAAAGCTCTGTCACTACCAGCTTTTGTCGTTTTCTGCTCCCTTTTGATTCCGATGCTACAGCATCAACTATATTGCATCAAAACACTTAAAATTAGGCCATTTTTATAGCTTACAACATAGTTAACAAAGTTAAGGAGGGTAACGAATTTAGAACATTCTTGGAAATTTTAAGTAAGTGGCTAAATCTTGCAACCCACTTAAGAAAATGTCCATTTGTTTATAAATTTGTAAAAATGGTTAAAGGATTTTAACTTAATTATTTTAATTCTTTTATTAGAAATTTCAATTAATTTAAAAGTATTACCAATGTTCCACGGTCCCCATCTCATCCTTTTGCCATTCTACTCTATCTTCTTCTTTTAAGTTCTTTCTTCTTTCATTGCAACAATGATGAATGTACTAATCACAATTCTCTATGATGGTACATGGAATGAAAAAATGGGTACAACAATTTCAACATCTCTCAGATATTAGAAGAATTATGAAAATTATATGGTCAATAAATGTATATACCAGTTGATGAAAAACCAACATTAGAATACAATACACGTATAAATCACAATGCAACCCAATCATCAAAATTAAAATGTCTATATATACATGTACTAATATTTCAACAATTAACAAAACATAAAAGTTAATAGATGTATGTATCAATTCAAGAAACAACCAAATACGAAAATGAATACATCCATATGCTGCTGTACAACTAAAATATCATGAGTATATAAAGCTAGTACATGTATATCCTAATAATTAGAATGTTTATATATGTATGTACCAATAATTCAACAATTAACAAAACATGAAAGTAAATAGATATATATATCAATTCAAGAAACAACCAAATACGAAAGTCAATACATATATGTACTACTCTACAACTAAAAAATATCATAAATAAAAAGCTAGTACATGTATATCTCAATAATTACCTCACTAGCAACGCGCTCTTCTCAACTATCTTGAGACCCTTTTCTTTTCCCTTAAACATAAAAGTAGGATTAGCTTATGAATCTAATTTGTAAATATTACTATTAACACAAATATCCCTTGAGTTCTTACGTTCTTGGTAGATTCCTTACATGAACCCAAATTTCTTTTAGGGACAATTTTAGTCTGTTTTATCTTACATCCGACTAAGTCTTCCCCACCCCTTCCTTTTCCTTGTCTCCTTCAATTTCTTATTTTTCTTTCCCTGGACATCATCACATTCTCTAGTATTCATTGGAGTCTCTCCCTGGGTCCTTGATGATTCAATCTGTACATATAAAGATAAATCAACTATGTGAGGATTTTTTAAAAAGACAAACAAGTCATATATAAACTGTTGCATCTATACCTCTTCTTCACAATCTAAGGTGATTGTGCACGTTTCTCTTTGACGCCCTATTATTCCAACAGCCTTTAATCGTTCACTCAGTCTCACATTTATATATTTTTTAAAATACACCTGAAATTTAGGAAGACATAAAATATCTTTTTAAACCAAGTTTTCTACCCAAAATCTGAACAAAGATTTTACCTTCCTCGAACAGCTGGAGTGGTGGGCAACAGTGATCGGTTCTGGTCAATTGCGAGATGACCGAATTTGTTTCGGATGGTGCAGCGCGGCGGCGGGACGCCCGGATCTTGGCCAGTACAGATGGTGCAGCGGTAGGGAGGGCCGAATCTGTGTCGGAAGGAAAGACACGGCGGCGAAACGACTGGATCTAGGTTGGGATGGTATGGTGCGGCGGTAGGAGGACTGGATGGTGCGACGATGGGTTGGGCGACGCGGCGGTGAAGCGGGAAACAGAGAGGGCGGCGAAGATGGATGGGGGCAGCAGCGTGAAGGGCGCGTGAAATAAAGGGATGATTGGGGGCGGCAGCATGAAGCGCGTGAAAGAAAGAGATGATTGCGGTCAAAACCTAATTTGTTAAAAATCCAATAAAGGTAAGTTGATTCTCTAATTATATTTAGTCTCTTGTTTGAAAATCTTCTACTTTAGATGGATAAATTTCAAAATATACCTCAACACGGTCTTATCAAATTTTTTCTAAAATCTAGTTTCAAATTCTAATTACCGTTTTTAAATTAGATTTAAGATAATTATTTTAATTTCATTTATTTTTTATTAAATACAGTTGGTTTCCCTAATATTAAGGTCAATTGTTTTTGCTATTCCTAAAAATCTTAAATCCCTAAAATTATGTATATATACTTAATTGGTTACAAGGGTATATTTATCAAAACATTTTCTCAGTATTTTTTAAGAAAAAGTCATTTAGTCATTATTGCAATATCTGATAGGTTTGACCATTTTTTAAAACGTGTTATTAAATTTGACCATTCCTGCAGTTGCCCAACATTTTTTTGCTAAAAATCAGTGTAGAATAAGTGTTTGTGTGGCTATCCTTAACTAGTTTATATGAAATTTTTGCACAAATAACTCTGAGAGTTATCAAATCCCCAAACTTGAACTATTGTTTGTCCTCAAGCAATGCTAATCCTACCTCTACACTTACAAGAGCTAGTAGTACTATCAGCATCAGCAAAGGATATCGTAATTATGGCGAGTACGTTTTTCTTGCTTGCCACATATCTGGAATACGAACTAAGCAAGAACATGTGRACTAAGCCCAGGGGATGATCGAGGATTGAAGGTCTGGAATTGTGGACACAGGGAGGGCGGAGGCATACCAGGCTTAATAACGACTAAAGACCATTGGACGACCGGGGGACAAGGTCGAGCGGGACAAACTCCTGAGGCTTTTGGAGTCGTAGCCTGTACCACAAAGACCATGGGAGAGTGTCTCCATAGATTTTTTCGCGACTCTGCCAAAAAAGGGAGTATGGGTCTTGATCGTGGTGGACCGACTCACAAACAAAAAGAAAGATGCAAATTTTTTGCAACGAGACCATCCATATTCCAACAATGGGCAAGACTCACTCAGATCTTTGTCGATAATATCTTCATTGCATGGAATGCCACACTCAATTGTCAGCGACAGGGGACCCGGTCTTCATTAGAATGGACAATTCATGCATGCTAACAACTTCACCGATTGCCTAAGATAATATAATTATTCAAACAAAATTTAGATTAATTATAGTATTAAAAATAAATTACTCATGCTTAAAATGTTAGTTATTAGACAAATATTATTACATTTTTAATTACATGTATATAAATAATCTAAATTGTTTTATTTAAAACTCCAAACTCACCCATGTTATACAATCTAACACGTTCATTTCTTCAAATCCATAGTTTTGTCAAACTCTTTTTTACTAGTGCAATGTAAAAATCATATTAGTATAATTAATTAAATAAATATTATTTCGTACAATTAATTAATTTAACTATTTCAGTTAGTTTGTATTGAAGTTAATAGCTTGTATGTAAAAAAAAAAGTTATAGCTTGTAAATAATTATTATTTAAAATGTGTTAACTTTTTAATCAAATATATTGCCTAAGTAAAAGAAAAAAAAAACAAGTTCAGTTGAATGATAATTTTGTTGATAATTAATAAATATTTAGCATGACAAGAAATGAACCAATAATTAAATAACGGGTAAATTATATGTTGGATAAATTTGTATAAAATAAATAAATATTTATTTTCTAAAATAACTATCGAAAAAAATTCGGTCAACAAATGTATTAAATTTTTTTATTTGTATCGAAAATCATACTTCCTAATTTCATAAAAACAAAATTTTTAATGTTGATTTTAATTATTTCAGTCAAATAATCGATATATACTATCTATTATTTATTATAAGTTCCAAATCTACCCACCAAATACAGTTTTAACAAATCTAAGTTTAACAAACATAAACTTTTAACAAACTTATTTTGTGCACGGTCCAAATGTATACTTAACAAATCTTGACTTCACAACTCATACTTAACAAATCTGCGTTTAATAAAACTAAGCAAACCTACGAACCAAATACCTCCTAAAAGAAACTTACTATCAAACTACATGTTCAAATCTCATGATCTCATCTAACAAACATGATTGTTTAATCACTTTTAAGTTATTTATATGATTTGTCTTTATAAAACAAATGCAATAATCTCATTTCTCATTTTAGAAGAGCCATGACAAATTTTATGTAAATTTTGGAACAATATTTTACTTTTGAAGAAAGATTTTCGCTCTTTAATTTAACTATCCAAAAAACAAGGAAAAAAAATGATGATTAACAACGTGTTTCAACTTTTTAAAAAATAATAATAAAAAAAAAAACAATCATCAAACCTGCTTTTGTTTCTTTCTGTTTCTTTCTTTTTTCTCAAAGGGACCAACAACCAACCGACGAATATACTTGGTAACGTTCTCATTTCTTGTTTCTATTTCTTCATTTTTTATTAAAAAAATAGACTGATAAAGCAATATTTTTATTTATGTTTTGAAATAAATGGGTAACGAGAATAAGAAATAAGAAATTTGTTTTTGGTTGTTTTCAAAATTTTTATACAATTTTTTGAATGTTTATAAAAAATGAGAAACAAAAATATAAATAGTTGTCTAATGCTTAAGTTTCTTAATAAAACGGAAACGTCATCACCAAACAGGCCATTAATAGCTCCAATCTTGATTCACTCAAAGGAAGGAAAGCTCGCTTTAACAAGGTAAGACGAGAAATTCTTACTCGGGTCGGCCCGTTGTTGCTCGACAAAGCATCACAAAGGAAATTTTCTTTTGAAATAAGGATCTTAGCTTATACAATCAAAGTCATCCCTGAGCACTCAGAAGAACCCTCAAGCATCCAATTACCTCATGAGAAGATCATCAAATGTATTATTTATCTCAAGCAGCACCTCATAGCCATACTCTAAATTCATCACTATTTTAAAGGAGATAAAGAAATAAAGTATAATGGAAATAATTACATACTTCTGTTTCAGTTCCATATAGATTCAATATGCTTCTGCTAAAAACAAATTAACATTGATTTGGAACATATTACAAGCTTTAGTTGGGAAAAAAAATGAACTGTAAGAATTTTCTAATCAAAGAGACAATGTATTCTATTCTAGCCTAAAAACACATTTACTTGAGGGGGGAAAATTTTTTGAATGGACCTTTGAAAGTTTTTCCATTCTTCTTGAGATAAAGCAACTCAAGTGATGGATGAGTTAGTGTCTTCGGGCGAGGGAAACCCGTTGAACCTGTGCTTGTAGTCGGTGGTGTCGATTGGTAGTGATGAAGCTCCGGGCTTCTTTGGAGATCCTGTGCCAAGTCTCTTGTGCTCTGAAAAATGTTAAAACGATTAGCGAATCAAATCTGACGTATGGAGAAAACGAGAAAGGATTTTGAGAGGAGCTAAGGCAACTACTACTTTTGTTCGTAATAGCATGGCGGGTCATTGCTAGGAAGTCTTCCCATTTGAACTTCTGGAGTTCTTGCTTCTCGTCCTCTGGCAGTTCGAAGTTTGGCTCCCGTCCGCACACAAAAGCAGCTCTGCATAACCGAAAAGACTAGTGAGCTTATAGTACCTACACCGATCCAGAATTGATGAGATGCTTATCGAAATGCTTCGAGTTCTTTCCCTTGTTCACTTAACAACTTAGACAGGTAAATGAACTAAATGATACACAGCGGTTAAATAATTTAAGTCCAACGCTCAACTACACAGTGAGAAGCATATACAACATAATGCCTATCATATCTCGGGTAGTTCGTATACTATATATATGTATGTATGTATTTATGTATAATATCTTGGTCGGAGTTTGCAAATGCTGTTTGTTACAACAGAATATAGGAAATGTTAAAAGTCAAGATAAGAGTTGATATGGAAGCGAATACCTATCGTACAAATGAGCAGCCTCTTCTTGTGAACCAAACGTCCCCAAATGTATCTGTTTCTTGTCTACCTTAATCGCAGCCTGCCATTTCATGTTCTTGAAATAGACACCTCTCATAATCGTCAGTTCTTGATTGTGAGAGTTCTTTCTCCTATGTCTCTTTCTATGTTTTAGTGGATGCCCTGCAAAAACAAGTCCATGTATTAGGAGCGACAAAATGCAGAAAGCTGAATCTCAAACATTTTGGACAATGTGATAGAAGGACAACTGACAATTACGATCCTTGCGACAGTACTAATATGTTAATGCACAAAACAAGTGTCTTATGTGTGGTCGTCACAATGCCATTCGCTGTACCGACCGCAAATTATAAATGAAGTGATAGATGTGCCAACCGCAGAATCGGGTTTAAGGAACTATGAAAAGAACTCATAACTTTTAAATTACAAGGGAGATGGACAAGCTCAAAAATCCAAACCACGTATAAGATTTCATTACCACACGAATGAAAGAGTGGCCACAGCTGAAATTTAAGCAAAAATAAAGCATCCTGATTTATACATATATGAAAACTATAGATCTCAAAAGCATGATCCCATAAACAAGGATTAAACTATTGATCACGGTTCGCAGATAACCTGACGCTGGCTGATTAGATTGTTCTTTCTGCGAGGTCAAATCCGATGCACTTGCAAAATTGGGTTCCATATTCACAACAGAGCTCTGTAACAAAAGATAAGAGTTTGGAACGTAACTGTCAGATTTATAATTCAACAAGCAAGCTCAGAAAGAAAATATAATGAACCTGGTAATTCAAATTGCACAGTAAGTATCGGAGTTTTACTCGACTTGGTAGATCTAGACCTGGACTTTTCAAGGGTAATGAAAGAAACCAAATCAATTGCATGAATGGTCATCAACCAAATCATGGTAGAATTATATCTATGACACACAACCCTCCAATGATGAACTCAAAATTTCAAGTCGGTTGCATAAATGTAATTCAATAAAAATCGGTTTTTTCTTATTACCTTTAACCAATATGTTTTTCCTTGAAATGTGTATTAACTTATAGAAACAAGAGTCTTTAAAGATCTCAATCGACAACCCAAGATAGCTTCACAGGCCTTTTCAGATAAAAGGAAGACAAAATATAAAACAAGTTTTTTCCTTTCAATCCAGCAAAGGCTTACATTCCTAGTTGTATTGCAAACATTTTGTTCATCTTAACTTATAGAAGCGAGAGAGTGTGTTTACAGATCTCGATCGATACTCTGACTTTCTGCACATTTAGCAGGTCAAAATTATTATCTAAGATGAAGCTTTAAAACAAACCTCTCCAACCAGAGATGTTTTGGAATGCATACAATATTCAACTGACTCTTATCAACAAAAACAAGGAAGCTTAACCAATAAAGTTATCTAGGTTTAATTATCACTTCAAATATCAATAATCGGTAACGAAATTGGGGGAATTAAGTAGAAATCTAAACGAATCAACTTGATTATGGGAATAGCTTCATAGAAACGTTAACACAGTCACATGCATATGGAAAATTGTGAGAGAAATTTTAAAGAATGTCATCTTACCCTATCTGTGAGGTTAACATCATCAGAAGACATGGGATGCACTGTGACTAGTTTGTTACTCGGGCTGGGATTTTCGGGAGCGGTTCCGTTATCTGAAAACTTAGGAAGTGGAGCTACAAATGAACTTTTCCCTGAAAAGTCCCAAAAAAGTTCTACAAACAGATTTAATCAAATGAATTCAAGAGCACCTAGTGAGATAGGAAACAAAGACAATGATGATTACTTCATTTTAAAAAAAAAAAACGGTCATTTATATCACAAGAATATCTAAACATACCAGAGCACAGTCCCAAGAGCCTGCGCCTTCTTAAGCTCACCATAGTTGATACCAATTTTCACGTCGTGCACAATGTACGTGATGAAATGTTTACCATGAATCTGTCCCGCCTTGGATACAAAGGAAGTAGCAGTCACAGTCAAATTTTGAATGTTAAACATCATCGAGAATAATAATAACCAAGCAAAACAAGAGGTTCAAATCCAACAAGATGCTAACTTGGGGACATTGAAAATACACAAAAAGTTTCTTGTTTTGGTGCATCAGCCTAAATATGGAAACATAATTAATTCCTAAATCATTCCTGTCCATTGTCCACGCTTCGAGCTAGCTCGATAGTCGACTCATTCACCCGAAAAACGAAAAACTCAGAGAAAATGGCGGATTGAAGCACTCCGTTCATCCCTTTGTCGAGCTCAGCAGAAAACAAGTTCACAAGAAAGGATGAAGGAGTTACTAATGGCACAGAGAACACGTTTTTGGCCAAAATATGAATGGCAATTACAAATGCAAATATATCAACAAGAAAAGGCATCAATGATTGGAGTCCAAAAGTCTTTTCCCAGCTTCTACAACTACTGATAGTGACATATACACAATCTCTGAAATTAGAACATCAAAATTAGAAGAAACCAAAACGAGTGGCTGAATTCTTCTCCTAAAACATGTCATAAATCTCAGCATTCTTTGAAGAAGAAAAGGGAGAAACTAATTTCAAAACGTTCCTCAGAAACATCCCAAGCTCAGATTCTGCAAATTACACATTGAACGCCTAAATACTAAGAAATCCTTCGCACTGATTCTTCAAACAAGAAATCACAAAACCCACAAGAGAATAATAACAATAAATCTGTCTCCGTGTCTCTGTTGTGAAATAAGTCAACCCCAATGAACCAACCACCACCCTTTTTCTAAAAAGTAAAGAGGGGGAGCCCCAATTGGCCAAATGCAAAAACAAAACACCAAATTAAGCAGAGAAAAAAAAAGTCCCAGAAAGGTGGAACGGAGAAAAAGGGGG